GTTCTGATCCGGTTCTGTCAGGGGGTCCAGGACCAGGGTCACCAGGGGATCCAGCAGCCGGAGAAGTCCGGCTGGATCAGGAAGTTCTGCGGCCGTGGCATCTTCAGGGAGCTGTGGAGGAACCGCTTTGTGGTTCTGAGAGGAACCCATCTGTTCATCTCCGACAGAGAGGTGGGTCCAGGTCCGTGTTCTCCACGGAACCACACGGAACGGCACCGTTAGCTGTTAGCTCACGGCTAATCATTAGCTAAAATTCACCTTTTCATTCATTCATTTATTATTAAATGTCTTTGTTTGAAGTTTTTTTTTCTGTTAGCATCTTTAGTTCAAGAACTTTCTGTTGTGAAATAGTTTCCATGTGTTTGGGTAAAACCCGGTCACGTGACATGTTTGACGCGCAGGTGAAAGATGAACGTAAAGCGCAGGAAGTGTTGGACCTGGCAGATTACGAACGTTCGGAGGAACTGCGAAAAGCCAAGAGTCGCAGTAAGAAAAACCACAGTCGCTTTACGCTGCTGCGCAGCAGACGGCCAGGAAGCAATGTAAGAGTTTAACACAGCGCCCCCACCAGGACAATTGGCATTAACCTAGCTCAGAGACATTCTCAGAGAAAAGGTTGTTCTAAACTAACGCTTCTCTCGCAGGTTCCTAACCTCGTGTTTTTGGCCTTCAGCCCGGAGGAAAAGGAATCATGGGTAAATGCGATCAATGTGGCCATCGTCAAAGCGAAGAACAGAAGAGTTTTAGACGAGGTTCGAAGAAAAACTCAGGAGCCAACAAACTGTTGACCAGACTTTCTTTAACTTTGTCTGTTTTGGATCAGGTGACCATTGAAGAGGGCGGAGCGTTGGCTCATCCAACCAGAGACCGGGCAAAGGTTCCTCGAGGCCGCAGGCTGCCCACTAGGGGGCACCTCCTTTCTGTGGTACTGTATTTTTTACGCAGTCACAACCTAATGTAAAGCAGCGATGCTAACGCGTCTCTGCGCCTGCAGGCGTCCACTTCCTCTCGAGGCATGCTAACCCTGGACCTGGTGGCGGAGGAGGACTCCTGCTCCCTGGACGACGACGCTGACTCCAGTTTCCAGGTGGACCGCTGTGACGGACACCAGGATGTCGGCGGGCGGGGGCGCGCCCCCCCCCCCGCCCCCC